AGATGATACAACCTTGCTTACTGAAAGCAAAGAAGACTCAAAATACTTACTGATGAAGATCAAAGGCCACAGCTTTGGGTATGGGTTGCACCTCAATATAAAGAAGATAAAAATTCTCACCACTGAACAATAAATAACATCATGATAAATGGAGAAACGACTTCATTTTGCTTGCATCCACTATCAACACTCATCGAAGCAGCAGTTAAAAAATCAAATATTTATTGCATTAGGCAAATTTGCTGCACGAGATCTCTTCGAAGTTCTCAAGAACAAAAATGTCAGTTTGTAACCCAAACCATGGTATACAACTGCCTTATATGCATGTGAAAGTTGGACAGTGAATAAGGAAGACCATAGAAGAGTTGAAGCATTTGAGTTATGGTGTTGGAGAAGAATATGAAAATTACCATGAACTGGTAGAAGATTGAACAAATCTGTGTTGGAGGAAGTACAACCAGAATGCTCAGGACAGCCAGACTACTCTCATGGTGGTGGTGGTGCTGATGTGGCGAGCACTTGGTTCCGACTCATAGCGAGCCTGTACAGGGTTTCCGAGGCTGTAAATCCGAGGCAGAACATCTTTCTACCCAGCTGTTAGTTTTGAACTGCTGACCTTGCTGTTCGCAGCCCGATTTGTAACCACTACTACCAGAGCTCCTTAGTCTCTCATACTTTAAATATTTTATCAGGTGGGACCAGTCCCTGGAGAATGACATCATGCTAGGTACAGTGGAGGGTCAGTAAAAAAGGGGAAGACCCCCAATCAGATGGATGGGCACAGTGGCAGCAGCAACGGGCTCAAGTTTAACGATTATGTGGTTGGTGCATTAATGGGCATAATTTCCGTTCTAGTGTGCATAAGGCCGCTATGAATCTGAACCAATTCGAGACCACCCAACAACAAAGAGACAAAGTGTGTTACTGTGAAGTTGCCTGCTCAGAGAGGCATACTTAAACATATTTTATGCGTTTTTTTTTTAAATAAACCCATGCATTTATGAACTAGAACCCTAATAGCAATACTTTTGTACTCACCCCCCTACACACACACACAAACACACACATCTGTACAACAAAAACATCGAAATGTTGCCTTTTTCCATGGAATGACTGCAATTTCTTAAATTCTGTCATTCAGACACAGTTTCACTTGTTCTGGAGCCAGGTCAAATTATCGATCCCCTAACAACTTTCACTCCAACAATAAAAAGTGGTTCAAGGGCAGAGACGAGTATTAAAGGGCTGCTTGGGCACCGCACCTAGATCAAAGCCTTCGAGGCAGGGAGGAGCCTTGTTCCTTCCACTTCAAGCAAGTCGGGGGAGTGGTGTCTACTGTAGTGCACAGACACCTCTTGGGTTAGCTCAGCTACCAGCTGCTCTCTGCACCGGTGAACTTCTGACCTCGACGACGACCTCCGGTGCGCGCTCTCCAGGCTTCCGACCGGACTCAGGCTGCAGCTTCCCAGAGCAGCGTCCGGACGGCGGCGGCCTGCACCACAGATGGCGGTGACTGTGATCCTGGAGCCCGCGAGCCACTGCTGCTGGGATGAGCCGGTGCGCATCGTGGTGCGGGGCCTGGCCCCAGCACAGCAGATCACTCTGCGCGCGTCCCTGAAGGACGAGAAGGGCGCGCTCTTCAGGGCCCACGCGCGTTACTGCGCGGACGGCGGCGGCGAGCTGGACCTGGAGCGCGCGCCCGCGCTGGGCGGCAGCTTCGTAGGGATTGAGCCCATGGGTCTCTTCTGGGCCCTGGAGCCCGATAAGCCTTTTTGGCGGTTTTTGAAGCGGGACGTGCAGACGCCGTTCGCGGTGGAGCTGGAGGTGCTCGGGGGCCACGACCCCGAGCCACAACGGGTCCTGGGCCGCGCCACGTTCCAGCGCGTCTTCTTGCGGCCCGGTGTGCGGAGGGAGCCGGTGCGCGCGGGCCGGGTGCGCGCCACGCTCTTCCTGCCTCCAGGTGAGTGCGAGCGAATAGGAGGGAGCATAGGACCTGGCGCGCCCATAGTTTTTTAATCTCGCTTAAGTTTGGCTCTGGAGCACTATCTGGAAACCCCCACATGGATCTCTCACAACCAAAATGGATGGATTTTGAAAGGTTAGGCTCTGTACTATGAATTTTATTTGCAGTATCGCAATTTCCAGATTAATCAGCAGATGAAGAACTAGGCTCAGGGTTGGTAGGTACCTTGCCCACTTTGCTATTAACACTCACCATATGGAGTCTTAGGGCACTGCATTGTTAACCGTAAGGTTGGTAGTTCAAACCCACCATCGGCTCCTAGTGACCCTATAAAGGAAAGGATCAGTATGAGTCAGAATCGACTCCAGGGCATTTAACAACTCGCCATAGATCTCTACAGGTGTCAGCTTGACCAGCCTTGGGTAAAATAATAAAAGTCAAAGGAAGGTATTGCCATGTGGTCTTACTCTAGGACCCTTTCTCTGCTTTATGTCCCTCTGTGCCACAGATAAAAGAGGCTTAATGATGCAGTGGTTAAGTGCCCACCTGGTAACTGAAAGGTCAGAGGTTCAAACCTACCATCCAGTTCCAACCCATCAGCAGTAGGTTTGGGTGGGAACCAACAGATCACATTTCAGATTTTACCACTTTACTCACCTAAAACCATCTCTAAGTATTTCTGTCTTCGCTTTCTTCCCCTTTCTCTGTCTCAATCACTGTCAGTAAACATCTGAAATATCAGTACACAAAACCCCAAGGGTTGATACAACCTTAATTAGATCCTTAATTCTACATCCAGGGTAACAGGGTCATTTCAGAACATGGAATCAATGCTGTCTAAAATGTGAAATTCCTATTTCCACAATGTATTAACAAAAGCAATTTATCAGTTTCCCTTACAACAGCTAGGAATCCTGGTGTGGCACTATAAGCACCGGGCTACTAACCACAAGGTCAGCGGTTAAAGCCCACCAGTCGATCCTTAGAAACCTTATACAGTGTTGCAGTGAGTCAGAACTGACTTCTTGTTGTTGTTAAATGCCGTCCAGTCGGTTCCGACCCATAGCAACCCTCTAGAGGGTTTCCAAGGAGCGACTGGTGAGCTTGAACCACCAACCTTGCAGTTCAAACTGACTTTGCAGTCTGGCGCATTAACCCACAGCGCCACACCAGGACTCTCAGAACTGACTAGATGGCACTTAACACCAACACCTAAGGAGTCCTGGTGTGGCACTGTAGGATAAGCACTGGACTGCTGATAACCACCTGCTCCTCAGAAACCCTATACAGGGTTGCTCTGAGTCAGAACCGACTGTTGTTAAGTGCTGTCAAGTCAGTTCTGACTCATAGCAGTGAGTTTGAACCGCTGACCTTGCAGTTCAAACCGACTTAGAGGTCGAGTGCTTATCCTACAGCGCCACATCAGGACTCCTGGTACTGACTAGACGGCACTTAACAACAGCTACAGATTCTTAGAACCTTGTAGATAGTTATCATGGAATCATATGAAGGGTAAAATCTTTACTGAGAAGGCACTTTGTGTATTAGATTTTCCTTCAAGTCTGTATTTATTTTCAGAAGTGACTCAGAGATCTTTTCTCTTTCCTTTGATTCACAGGAACCCATTTAGAAAGGTCTCTAAAGTGTTACAGTCGTAACAATAACAACCATAACAAAAGCAAATTCTTGAAGTTGTATAATGTCTTTGCTTTATAATACTGCCCCCTCTAGGACCTGGACCTTTCCCAGGGATCATTGACATCTGTGGCGTAGGAGGGGGCCTGTTGGAATACCGAGCCAGTCTTCTGGCTGGCCATGGCTTTGCCACGATGGCCCTTGCTTATTATGAATATGAAGATCTCCCCCAGACATATGACAGCATACACCTGGAATACTTTGAAGAAGCCCTGCACTACATGCTTCAACACCCCCAGGTTCTTCTAATGTTTTTTACCTAATCAGTCTCTCTAGAAATATCAACAAAAGGCACGGCTTGGTGCTCACCAGCATCAGGTCTCTGCTGTCCTTTCACAGAAGTGATTTCTTTTTGCGACTTCTTTGACTTTAGGTCAAAGCTTATTTAGCTTCTTATTTCCACATTCTCTGTCAGATGGATTTAATGATTAGAATTAGTCATAAAAGCCACTTGAAATGAAATTCTTTTTGCAATGCAACTAGAACTACTAATTTATTATTGTTGCATGGTTGTTTTTAATGTGTTTTTCTGGTAAATGTATGTTCCCAGGTTTTGACCAGTAGTTGCTCACCCATTTCCGAGGCTCAGGACTACTTAATCCAACCCTGAAGTATTACATTGTTTATGTAAAGTTAATGGTTTCAGTGTATATTTAGATGGAATCTGATGAATTCTTTACTTCTTGGAACAGAGCTTGGTTTCACACACAAATAGATACTTAGCCACATTAAGACTTAGATCAGGCTCACCTGAATGAAGTATCTCTCAACTCTCCAAACTTGACAGTCTCTATGGTTTAGCATTCTTTAGTGGGTCCCTCCCTTACCACTTCCCAACTCTGCCAGTGCATATAAGATTTATTTGCCCATGAGTTCTGCCAGATATTCTTTCTATGTGGGAAGAAACTCCCTGTTAGCTAAGATTGATTCTCTTGGGGCCAATTCACAAATGAAAATTAACAGCATCTCTCATTGCCTTTTAGAAAAATATTTTTGTATAGATTCTTGACACTCCCTTCTTTTCTTCTAGGTAAAGGGCCCAGGTGTTGGACTTCTGGGCATTTCTCTTGGGGCTGATATTTGTCTCTCAATGGCCTCGTTCTTGAAGAACATCACAGCTACAGTTTCCATCAATGGATCTGCATTCAGTGGAAACAAAACCATACATTACAAACAGACTTGCATCCCATCACTGGGCCATGACCTAAGAAGAATCAAGGTAGCTTTCTCAGGCCTCCTGGATATTGTGGATATGCGGAATGATATTATAGGAGGATGTGAGCACCCCAGTATGATTCCCATAGAGAAGGTCCAGGGACCAATCCTCTTTATTGTTGGGCAGGACGATCATAACTGGAGGAGTGAATTCTGTGCCCAACTGGCCTCTGAACGGCTCCAGACCCGTGGAAGGAAAAAGCCCCAGATCCTCTCTTACCCTGGGGCTGGGCATTATATCGAGCCTCCTTACTTCCCCATGTGCCCAGCTTCCCTGCACAGATTTGTAAACAAACCAGTGATTTGGGGTGGGGAGCCCAGGGCTCATTTTAAGGCCCAGGTAGACGCTTGGGAGAAAATTCTAACCTTTTTCTACACACATCTTGGAGCTTCTCCCAAATTGTAATGCATTACTCTTATTGTTGCATGAGACACTAAAGGTTGGATTGTAGTGTTTACTAAACTACGTGAATCATTTATTTCCTGGATAACATTAAGTTAATGTTACTAGCATTAATTATGTATTTCGGATAACTTTTGGAATAGGTTTAAATTTTTCATTAATTTGACTTTTCTACAAGCTTATTGTAGAAGATTTAATCAGAGATATACAACAAAGTAAATAAAATGCATTTCTGTTATCATTTGTTCTCTTCTAGTTTGCTTTTTTTTTTTTTTTTTCTAGTTTGCATTTTTTAAGTTAACACCTTGAGCCAGATAGGAGCTTTAAAGTTGAGCAAAAGCTAGGTTACTTTTTAACATCACTGAGAAAGAATGGTTGGTCATCGATTGTTGGCTACTCATATTCAACTACTGATTGCTGTTAAGTGCCCTCGAAATGGTTCTGACTCATAGCAACCCTGTATAGAGTTTCCAAGGAGCAGCTGGTGGGTTTGAACCCCTATCCTTGTGGTTAGCAGTCCAGTACTTATCCTACAACATCACACCAGGACTCAACTACTGGTTTTTGTTATTGTTGTTATGTGCCTTGGAGTCAGTTCTGACTCACAGTGACTCTGCACAGGGTTTCCGAGGCTGTAAATCTTTACTGGAGCAGAAAGCCTCACCTTTCTTCCGTGGAACAGCTGGTAGTTTCAAACTGCTGACGGTGAGATTCACCCACCCTTGCACCCGCTACCCACTCTGTCTCAGGATTCATTTCCTCTCCGCAGCAGCATTGTCACTCAGGTCTGAGTTCTTCATGAGTGAATAATGCACTGAGGCTCCAGTGAGCTCATCAAGAATGGACTTTAGTTTTCCAGTGAGAGTGAGTTGCAGATATAGTTCTTTATTTTTCTAAAGACCTATGTTGTTGTTGTTGTTGAGTGCCATCGAGTCGGGTCCGACCCATAGCGACCCTGTACAGGGTTTCCGAGGGTGTAAATCTTTACGGGAGTAGAAAGCCTCAGATTATGTTAATTTCTTTTCAAATGTACACATCTTCCAAAAGCATAATAATTTTTAGAATCATCTAGTTGAAACCATGGAGTCCTGGTGTGACGTTGCAGGATAATGCACTGGACCGAAAGGTCGGTTAGAACTGCAAGGTCAGTGGTTCAAACCCATCAGCCATTCCTCAGAAACCCTATATAGGGTCACTGTGAATCAGAACCAACTCAACAGCACTTAACAACAACAACAAAGCTGAAACCATAAGGAGGTCCTGTCAACAAAAGATTTCTATTTCATCATAATGCTGATCTATATTAATTCCCTTTGGTTCTTTATACTATTCCTGGCCACATCACCATCCAGCCTTTATCTTTGGGGAACAGGAATTTGTGCCCTCTGGGGGTCCCTCAGGTTGTCCCTGTGTGATGCAAATGACTAAGCACTCAGCTACTAACCAAAATGTTGGTGATTCAAACCCATCTGGAAGCACCTTGGAATAAAGGCCTAGAAATCTGCTTCTAAAAGGTCACAGCTATGAAAATCCTGTGAAACCTAGTTCTACTCTAAAACACATGGTCACCAGAAATTATAATAGACCCCATGACAAATTTTTGGAGGCATGGGGATACAGGTTGAGGGTGGGTGTATGGGTCCTCAAGAATAAGAAACTACAGGCAGACACTACATCTATCCTATACAACAAAGACATGAGCGACCTAATGAAACAGATATGAAAGATAACCCTGAAATCCCAAGCTTCAGAGAAAACGATAAAGAGGTGGTGAATACAGACACTGAGAAAAAAACGAACAAAAGCAGTGAGAGAGGGTGAACTATGGGCTGGCCTGATGTGGCTCAGCCGGTTTTGAATATTTGTAAGCAGTCCACCCAGACAGTGAGCTTCAAAGTTGAGCCTGATACCACAGATGCACTCCAGTGGCTAGCTATGAGAAAGGGGATCCTTCCTTGCTCCCCACAACCTTCTGGTGACCCGAAGCATGGCCAGCCCCCACCTTCACCCATCCATTGGCCAGGCCCTGCTCCACCTGAGGTTGGAACTGTGCCATACATACCTACCTGCGTCTGGAGGTGCCTGAACTCTGTCTGCTCCAGCAGACCAGCAGACTGTGTAGTACCAGGTCCTGGGTTCTGACCACCTCTAGGGGGCCAAGAACTCCTTCTATAACCAGTTGTCCTGCCTCCAGATGCCCTCAAGACCCAAAAGAGTTCCTTTTGGTAGTTCCTAGGGTAGGTGTAGTGTCTGCCTGTAGAGAACAAGCACCCTGACCTCAAACACTTTCTGAGCCAGCACAAACTACTTCTGGATCAGGTACCCTAACTGCAGATAACATCTAGGCCTGGAGAAATTCCATCTCCGACCAGGCATCCCACTCCCTCATCACTTGCCCTTCCCTCCCATCCCCCTGTGAGCACCTTGGCTGGCAGAGGGTGCCCAGTCATATCCCCACACTTTTCTTTTTTATTTCTATTCCCTTGTTTCTAATCCTTTCTTTTACTACTTTTCTTTTCTCCCTTTCCTTTTTCTTTCCATTTTTTTCTTTACTATTCTCTTTTCTTTTTATCCCCACCTAGTTTTGTTTATTGTATTCTTTCTTTTATCTCTTCCCTTTTGAAAATTTCCTTTCCTTTTATTATTTTTAGCTATTAAATACATTGTTATTTTTTTGTTTGCCTGAATTTCCAGAATTGCTGTTTAAAATGTATTATTTTCATTTTTGCTGTTGTTTGCTTTTCCTTGTCCCATCTGAGGGCGAACAGCAACTACACCCACAGCACAGTGGCATCTATACCTCCTGCAGCCCCACCTACTGGCCGAGAGCCACTATCCACTCCGATACCACCTGATCATCGATAGCAGCCAACAGCAGCCAAACCCACTCTCAACTGTGCTACATAAACAGTGAAGAGGGAACCGCACACACACTCATATTCTCTATTATACCCACCTGGAAATAGGTGATGAGTGCCTTAAGAACACACCAACATACAATTATCAATTAAATACAAATCCAACAACACTACAATGTCTTTTACAAAACAATTTTAGTTTGCTTGAAGAAACATGACAAAGTGGCTCAAACTCTCTTAATCATTTCAAAGTGACAAATACAAAGCCAGAAGACCTTTCTGAGGAAGAAATGGTTTTGGAGCTACCTGAAAAGAATCATAATTAGGTATCTTTAATGGACTGAGAAAGGAGCTCTGGTAGCATAGTGGTTATGTTGTGTCTCAATTTACCCAGATGACCACTCAGGAATCTCAGAATTGATAAGGAAGCCTTTATTAGCTGGCCAGCGATCACAGCCTCCCTAAAAGCGGGAAAAACTGTAGCCCCAACCCCATTTTTCAAAGAGTATTTATACATAGGCAGTCTGACATTATCTTGTACAAACTAAGAGTATGATGTAGGCATAAGCTGTTAGGGTGGGGGCTAGGAGTACATCTGCTGGGACATTTACTTCTCAAGATTAACTTTGGCCGGCTATTCTCAAGGTTAGCCTTGGCCGCTGGCCACAGTGCCCTGTGAGTCAGGTGGGCCCACTCAGATGTGAGGAATTTGCATAAGCAGTGTTGCAGAAGCCAAGTTTAGCCAGAGTTAAGGGGAGAAGGGGGTTTCTGCATCCAGGGGAGCTGTTGACACTAAAATTGTTCCCACTTCAGCCCGATCCTTTACTATAGGGCAATTGGGCCTTACAGTTACAAGTCAGGCTGCCAACCTCAAGGTCAGCAGTTCAAAACTACCAGCGGTTCAGTGGGAAAAAGATGAGGCGTTTTGCTCCCGTAAAGATTTACAGCCTCGGAAACCCTGTGCAGGGTCACTATGAGTTGGAACTGACTCCACGGTACTTAACAACAACAACAATGGACTGAGAAGGCGCTCTGGTAACATAGTGGTTACAAATTGGGCTGCTAACCTCAAGGTCAGCAGTTCGAAACTACCAGCTGTTCCGTGGGAGAAAGATGAGGCTTTCTGCTCCTGTAAAGATTTACAGTCTCAGAAATCCTGTGCAGGGTCACTATGAGTCAGAATCAACTCCATGGTACTTAACAATAACAACAATGGACTGAGAGAAAGATCCAGAAAGCTGCAGACAAAATCAAAGAAAGCACAGATATAACTTAAGAATAATTCAGGAAAACACTACAGAACAAACTGAAAAATAAATGAAAAATTAGAAACAATACAAAAAATAGCAAAAAGAAATCCAGAAGATTAGTACTAAGATTTCAGAAATTGATAATAAAATGAAAGGGCAACCGAGTAGAAACAAATCGAAGGCCAAATAAATGGGCTTGAAAACAAATTTCTCAATATTCTCAATAACCTGCTAGAGGAACAATTAAAAAAAAGTAGGAAAACAATCTGAGGAAAGTTATGAATTACATGGAACACCATCAGAATTCTAGAACAGGAAGGGACAAAAAATACACAGAAAATTGTTGAAGACTTGTTGGAAGAAAAGTTCTCTAACATTAAGAAAGATTCAAAGATATGCATTTCATGAAACTGAACAAACTCCAAACAGGATAGATCCCAAAAGAAAATCACCAAGACATTATAATAATTAAATTTTGTAAAACCAAACAAAGAAAGGAAAGAATCCTGAGAGAAACTTGGGAAGTATGTAAAGTTACCTACAAAGGAGAACCAATAAGACTACGCTCTGATTTCTCAGCAGAAACCATTCACGCAAGAATCCAATGGGAAGACATATATAAAACTCTGAAAGAAACAAGTGCCAACCAAGAATCACATACCCAGGAAAATTGTTCCTTAAATATAAGGGCAAAATTAGGACATTTCCAGATGAATTTGTAAAACACAGACCAAGAAATACTAAAGGTAATTCTTTGGACAAAGACCCAACAAAAATAAACAACAACTGAGATTAACATACACAACAACACCATCAAGAAGTCAACCAGATATATTGTTATTTTTAGGTGTTACTGAGTCAATTCCAATTCATAGCGACACTATGTACAACTGAA